ATTATTATTATTATTATTATTATTATTATTATTATTATTATTATTATTATTATTATTATTATTATTATTATTATTATTATTATTATTATTATTGTTATTATTATCATTATCATTATTATCATTATTATTATCATTACTGTCATTATCAATTATTGTCATCATCACTGTTATTGTTAGCTATTACTAATTATCATTGCACTCTCTTCAATAAAAACTCTCTCGAATCATTGTGCATGGAACCATAATTATACGATTCAACTCACAATGCTTTGCTACCATGTATAATTATTAAAATCATAATCGTTCCCATAAAAACCTTCCATTTATTCATAATAACCATCTTAAAATTGTTCTCCAATAATATTTTTTAATCGTTTATTTCAGCCTCTAAATACCACTTTCTAATTTTGTATTTTTAATTGCAAAAACAATAGCTCACCTAGTCCTACTCACGATAAAATGTAGCTAATAAGATTACTGATTATAGATGCAATGTCTAATTATCAAAACTGCATATTTTTTGGAATTAGTTTCACATTATGAATAGCCAATGGAAGCAATTTTAACAGAGTATTGGTAAAATGGTACCCAACTCATCTCAGTAATACTCTATAATACTAATATTTCAATTACTCATTAGCCATATTCTATCATTAGAATAACTTATTCTAAAATTTAAGTACATACATAGATTTATACCAAATTAGAGTGGTTGATTTTAACTGAATATATGTGTAACTTTTACCCGTATTGTCACTACTTGAATATTTCGAATATACATCTCGCATCCTATTCATAAATCATTAATGCAATCCTTCTAGCAGAATATAAAATTCTATAACCTTTTCCTTAATCATTTGGAATATTTGTATATGTTTAAATTTTCGAATAAAATTATTCGGATAACAGAATGTTGCACTTTAGGTCATATTCCCATTACGTTCAATTGGTAATGACAATACTTATGTCCTTTGACTCTTTGCAAGAACTCTATTTGCCTAATACTTTATAAACACTTAATAGCATAAATGGAGTACTTTTTCTTTTTACCAAGACGGATTTTCCTCAGCCTCTAATTTCAATACCGCGAAGCAAAGATAAGCGCTAAATTTCTATCATCTGTTTCATTTACGAAGAAATGGGTGACCTTTGCTCTGAATTGAGTGGTCATGCCGACTCTGTTCGAGGAAAGTATTGTGAGAAGTGGAATATAGTTTCGGATTCAAATGTTGCATACTGTTCTGGTTAAAGGTTACTTTTACAAATGGAGAGGGGCAGTATACACAGATACCTTTTTATTGGCTGTTGTGATCAGCAAGTCGTCTATTTTTTGTCACATGTTTTTGTTTCTCTGCTTTACTGTCACATGTACTCCTTTATTTTTTTGGCGGTCTTTTTACGTGTTCTTCGGAAATTTTTTCCCTTCATTTGTTTTTTGTTTCTTTGCTTTACTCTTTCTTTGCCTTCCACTTAATTTTTGCATTTCATTGTAAATATTTTTCTAATTCGAACAAGTCAGTTCCATAAAATTCACAAAATGTAGTTGTATATATTCACAACTTTATGACTGAATAAATTCTCAGTTCTACAGTTGTACATACCTGCATGTTTTTTTCAAAATTGTGTGATGAATTCAAATTTTACAGACAACTGTTTGTTTATTTGTTGGAATTCCAGCTGTTTTAATGCGATTAACAAATTTGAAATAAATACTAACTTATCATTTAGCATTACTATAAAAGCATTACTATATATATATTACTATAAAACCAAATTTTACTCTCCAATTTATTCTTTTCTTGAATCTCAAAATTAGAAATGATCAAGAGCATAGATCCGAGACCTGAATTTTTCCGAATTCAAATATGAATTTAGGATTCGAAGCATCTTACCACACTAAACTTTCCAATATGCTATTCAGTTCTGTACAACATCGTTAATAATTTAAACCGTCATGATTATTTTACAAAATAAGTATTACTGATACCTATAACAATGATAATTATAATGACGATCAATGAAATGATCGATGTATTTTGACGGACAGAATTCCGTTAGTAAAGGGTTATCTTGTTAATTACAATAACAACTTCATCAACCTGGCATTGTCATTCCAGATTATTCCTTCATTCATCATGCGACAGAAGAGCTGGACTTGTTGACTTTTATTTTCTCAAACATGAATATTTTTGCGAAATTTCATTTATTTTTTAGTTGTTTGTTTCTTTTCCTGTTTCTTCATTTGCTGAAGTGATTTAATGTGATAAATTAAGATCGAAAAATTTTTTTTTCACTAATTAAGCCTCTGACGCTTCCATTGACAGAGCAAATTTAGATCCAGTTAACATTGCAACTAATTTTGTGAAAAATTTCCAAAATGTTATCAAAAGACAATCATTCATCAGGTGAACTTAAAATAGCTATCAGCAATCTTCCGTATATTGCCAAACTTTAGGATTGGATAAGAATGTTCCCATACGCTCTCATTTTCGCGCTCCTTTTTCATGTTCCATCAGTGAACTTGGCTCACTATTAATATAATACGATTTGGATAACATCTTGCTGCCAAAGATACACTGAAATAGCTTCACCATACGACATAGATGTAAATCTCGGGAAATCGAACCTGCTGCGATAGTTATCGCTCTCTTTTCTGAGTATTGCCGGACAAATTTACTAGCCATATTTGCAGGTGAACTAGTTATTTTCTCGTTACAGTCTTCAATGAATCTAATTAAGCTTAAAGATTGATCACGTCTTCAGAATACTTTCTATATCTATATTACTTCCTCTGTATTCTTTATTAAGGAATAATTTTTATATATTACATTACAGCCACTTTTTCACTCTTCCAAAGCATTTCCTCTTTACTCGTTTATTACCTGGCAACAAGCAATTATTAAAGCAAGACAAATCATGACATTTACGTCGCATATCCCACTCCCTCTTCTACGTCCCCTTCCTTTGAAGCCTTCCTTCTCCTTCTCACACGACTTCTAGCCATTTTTATCCCCTGAAATGTTCGTCGAAGCATGTTCAAAAACATTTATGTAATGTTTCATTTTTAGTAGCCGTACATCAAAAATCATTTTGAGTTAAATTTCCCGCAATTGTTGGCTTTTCGTCACTTCAAATGTCAACCCCATTCATTGTATTCACGACGATAGTGCAATCATTTTCTTGTTTTTATCGCATCAGATCTTCTCTTCTAGTCGGAAACAATCTAAACTAAACCTAATTGATATTATTCAATTACTACGGTTAACATAAATATTGCCTAGGTCTTATCCTAAAAAACTACCTCGAAATTTCTTATATTTATTAAAGACATTAGAAATTTTGTTTCGCAAGATCAGTAACTGTTTCAGTTATTCGATTTCAACTCACATTTTGAAATTACACTTACTTCATTGCAATTCATCAAATGCTATACTCATAATTTTTCTTTTGAAATTTGACCATCTCTGGACAAATCTGATAGTTATATCATATGGAATATCACAATTACTATGCAAAATTGAGAAGTTTCAAACATTTCGAACATGGCAAATCGAATTTAAATCAAAGTTTGATGTATTGGAAATGTGAGCATTGTATTCAACGATCTCTAGATGTTAATAGCTTGTCGACCAATTTCTTCTATGACTTTCGACTTTTTTAAATATTGCTTGTCAAAGCCATGACAAACATTAACATTTCTTTAATGCATTGATAACAATTACATTCATTTTCATCACCACCATACTGAACAAACATTTTTTGAATTATTCAACGAAAGCATTTCTTTTTAGCAAAAGCCATTTTTAGTATCATTTTCCTCCCAAAATTTCCACCTTTTTTTAATCATGCATTTTTTGCATGACGTCATCTCATCGAGAACATGCGATTTCACTCCATCAAAAAAAAAAAATCATTCCACTCCATCGAAAAGATACGATACCCTCCATCCAAAAGATCTATTAAGTTGGGCCATATCGCTGTTGCAATGAAGCGGCGTAAAGAAACACTTTTCACTCGGAATAAATTGTCGCCTTTATTAGGACTGATTTTTAATGTAATGGACAGTTTCACATGTGATACTTACATAAGTACCCTCAAACGTTTGTCCTTTATGGTTTCAAAATATGCTTTGCTTGAGACTTTTACAGAGAAAAACACAAAAGCTTGTTAAATATTTACGAAATCCTCAATTTTATATATATATGTAAGAACTCTTTCAAAAAAATGCGCTTCTTTGCTATCTTTTAAGACTTTGATGAACTATTTCAAGTATTATTTCAAATTTATTTCAATGAATTTCATTGCAAACTGATATTATAATATATAATATGATATAAAGATAAGGTTCATATGCATTTACAAAGGAACCAGTGATGATCCAAATAAATTGTTATTATCAACAATGCCGTGTCAAGGATAATTTGTTATCATTCGCACGCTTGTCCCCTGTTGTAAGTATGTCGTCGACAATAAGTTGTAATTTACAAAGCACTTGATATCAAAACTTTTCATGAGTGAAGAAAATTTGAAGGATAAAAAACGATGTTCATGTCAGATTCATAGTTTATTCCATTTTTAATACTTATAAGGCGAGTAGGCTTTTTTATACAGCTAATAAAAATTGAATTTCCAGATTTTGAACCTGAAATATTAATCTATAAAACTGCAGAAATTATAGTAGTGATGACTAAAAAAAGAAAAAGAATCTACAAAAGTTGAAGCTCTTTTCCTCTGTCAGCAAGGCATTAGAGCCAGTCTTTATCCGATTTATCAAATTTTATGTGCCTAATTTTCTTCTTGCTATTATCATCTTCCCAAAAATTGAATCCATTTTGTCATACTATTCTCCAATGTTTATTTTTTTTTACATTTTTACACCACAAATTTTGTCACACCACAGATGTTTTACACCACATTTCATGCATGGTTAATTAACGAACAAACTGAGCAGTTATAGAAAGTATGGAAGGACCGTGAAATACTGCAATAGATCAAGATTTTGGTAATTTGCTCCTGGAAGGACAATATGTCATAAAGCATAATAAATGCGCAGTTAATTAAAACGCGGAACCTTCTTTTTTAACTGGAACTTGACCCTCTCTTTCATCTCGTTCATTTTATTTCTAAGGCATTTGGTGATAACATTTTGATTTTTCCCATAAATTATATTTCTCTTCAAGACTTTTTAATTAATTGTCAAGAATTAAAATTCTAAGAAAGGCTGAAAATGTTGCCCAACCCTACAGTTTCTTTCTGTGATGAGAAAAAAAACACACGTTTAATTTTATTTTTTCAGCCACAGATGTTTTCCTTTGAACGAATTTGTGGTAAAAGATTAAAAGCTATTCTGCTTTAGAATTCAACATTTAAAATTTACTTTGGAATTCGTTTCCTGAAGACTTAGTTGTAAGAAAAATCTATTTCATGGAATATTGCAGTATTTCTCGAAACAATCTTATCTTTATGAGTTAACTTTTTGATGATTAGTTAAGGTACTTAGGAAACATACCATTTCAAATTTTCGAATTCTGTTTAAACTAAACATATATGGATATACCTGTATCGTTTTGCACCACTCGCGATTTTAGAAACATTTCAATCAAAATTTCAGGAATGTTGACGGTAGTTACGGATCCAGCAGAATCAAATCATCAAAAGTTATCCCATGAGGGTGGTAATAACAATGAAATGCTTAGTCGAACTATAAACAAACCAAAAGTTTATCCTTTGGAAGAATCTGTTCATTTAGGTTTAATTTCTGGGATTCAACATAGAACTGAGTGAAATATTATTACGGCTACTTGTTTCTTATTGAATTCAAGCAGCAAGTTCTTGCTTATCTTTTTGAAGTTTTTTCTGATTTGTTCCCTGTTATTTCTTAATTGGTTTTTCTTTGATTTAGAATTCCGCAATGATCACGTCAACGAAAAAGTTTTGCCACTGGAACCTGAAGAATCAAGAAAAGATGGTGTTGTTCCGAAGCAAGGGAAATCATTCTTTAGGCGGAATTTTAAACAAGCTCTTACTCTTAGCGCTGCTATCATAACTATAGTATTATCTTTGATTGCAGCTACTGTGTACTACATCTTATCCTACTCCCGTCCCGAACTTATTTACACTAATATGGTTGGTGTGTAATAATTGATTAACTAAATTTGCAAAAAAAAAAAAAAATAAACAATCAAGAAAAAAAATTTATATCTAGGGAATAATTCGACAGGGAACATTGTGCACATACCTGTTTGGCTTATCTTTGTAGTGAATATTGTTCGGGTTCGTTTGAGAGGGTGATGTCGGAGACCACTATTGCCAGCGATATAACGCGAGATGTTCGTAGCGTTAAGTTGAATT